GTATATATGTACATGAGATTCAGAGTCAAAGAATTTGTAATGGAAAAGAAGCCAAATCATTGGTGGTTGAGAAAGGGTCTTAGTGTATAGTCCTGGCTCCTTAGAATTCAAAGAAATCAGACTGCCTCTCCCTGCAATGGGATTAAAGGCAGGAATCACCAAAACCACCTAGTAAGTGGTATTCTCATCCCCCCTTTCCGCTTTCCTTTTCCTCTTCTCCCTTTCCCTCCGCCTCCCTTTTTCTCCTCCATCTATGTTTTTACCTCCATCTATCTCTTTCCCTCTCTCTTTTTTGAAAGAATCACGCATGAATCCTGCATCTATGTTGCTGGTTCCACTCTCCCTCCCCCTCAAGTCCTTCCATGTCTTTCCCAGTTTCCAACCAAATCAATGACATTTTCTTCCATTCTTACCAACCTACAAGTCTATATAGCATTGCTTGTGTGCCTGAGACTGATCACTTAGTAAGGTTTAATTCCACCTCATCCAGTAACTACATGACATTAGAAAATGGCTTCAACCCTTCTGAACCCAACAACAGGGACCCTGATTCCCTAGCTTAGAGGGTGGCTTTGGGGCTGCAGAAAGCAGCATCCTAAAGTATATAGGAAGTAGAAGTTCCTTGTCCGTGATTGAATTTTGTAGTTATTAACCTGTTTAAAAACTGAATTCTGCATGGGTGTACATAGACACACATACGTATATACATACATTAAAACAATACATTTCAGGTCCTGGGTTACCTCAGGCTGCTCTTTTCTAGTTCCATCTATTTGCCTGCAAATTTCATGGCTTATACTCACTTATAAGCATATGTTAGCTATATAATATAGGATAAACACACTAAAATCTAGAGACCTAAAGAAGCTAAACAACAAGTAGGACCCTAGGGAGGATGCTTAATCCTCATTCAGAAAAGCAAACAGGATAACACTGGAAGTGGCAGAAGAGAGGAAATAGGAGGGTAGCCCACCGCAGATGTCCTCTAAGACTCTACCCAGCAGAGGATCAAAGCTGAGGCAAAGACCCATAACCAACTTCGGGCAAAGTGTAGAGAATCTAATAAAAGAAGAGGGAGTTAGAAAGACCTGAAGGGGCCAGGAGCACTACAAGGAGACCCACAAAGTCAAAAGTATCTGGACCCAGCGGTACCTGCAGAGAACAGTGCATGAAGAAGACCTAGACTCTGCTCGGTCTCCAAGTGAGTTTCCTAATAAAGGGAACAGGAGCTGTCTCTGACATAAACTCAGTTGCCTGCTCTTGGATCACTACCTCCTGGTCGGGCAGCCTTGCCAGATCACAGAGGAAGAGGATCCAGGCAGTCCTGATGAGACTTGATAGACTATTATCTGATAGTAGGGGAGGATAACTCCCACTTTGGGAGGGGCATTGGGGGGAGGAGGGAGGGAGGATGGGACTGGGAGGAGATGAAGGAGGGGGATGCAATCAAGGTATAAAGTGAATGAATTGTAAAAAAAAATAATATTTTCAAAAAAAAAACCAATATATTTCAAAATCTAAAACCCAAAAGTTTCCTGGACCTCATGCTGTATACCATACTGGCCTTGAACTCAGAGATCCACCTGCCTCTGCCTCCCAAGTACTGGAATTAAAGGCATGCACCATCACCATTCCCCTTAAAACCCAAAAGGTTTAGTCATTATAAATTCTCTAAGTTACAAGGAAGCTTAAAGATTATTTGATTTAGTGCTTCTTAGCATTTTGTTGACTTAGGACTTTGATTGCCTTTTTAATTGTTGGCTTTTTTGTTTTGTTTTGCTTTATATTTTGGGCTTACTTTTTTTTTCCTTTTTATTGATTTATTATTTATTACAATTTACTCACTTTGTGTCCCAGCTATAGCACCCTCCTTCATCTCCTGCCTGTCCCACCCTTCCTCCCTCTTCTCTCCAATGCCTCTTCCCTAGTCCACTGAAAGAGGGAGTTCCCCTCCCCTGCTATCTGACCCTAGCCTATCAAATCTCATCTGGACTGCCTGGATCCTCTTCCTCTGTGGTCTGGCAAGGTTGCTCTGCCAGGGGGAAGTGATCTAAGAGCCAGCCACTGCTCCCCTTACTAGAGAACCCACATGGAGACTGAGTTGCCTATTTCTACATCTGAGCAGGGGGTCTAGGTCTGCTTCATGCTACTACTCAACAATTAAAAAAAACAAGGAAATCATGAAATTTGCAGATGAATGGATGGAGCTAGAAAAGATCATCCTGAGTGAGGTAACCCAAAAGCAGAAAGACACACAGGGTATATACTCACTTGTAAGTGGATATTAGCCATATAATATAGGGTAAACATACTAAAATCTATTGATTACTTCTTGAAAAGGGTCTCTTATACCTCTGCTTTCCATTTCACTATCATTTTCTCAGGGTACAGACTCCTCAGAATCTCAGTTACACAGCTTGTTGCATACAACCACTAAATATATTTTCCTACAATTCAGCCTTTTCTGAGGTCCTCCTACATACTTGCATGGTCCCTCTATCAATAGAGTTGTCCAGTCTTATTAAAGCCCATGGTAGTAGAGGACCATTCTCAAACACATTCTCTAGTACAGTATAAGTACATGAGGCACAAGTCCTACTGTCATCACTTTTTATATGTTTGCATTTCATCTCTCTCACCCTGTGAGAGACATTTTTCAAAAAGTGGCTTAAAAGTTTTAGGAAAATTGACATGGTGATACTTGGGAAGCCCTTGCTTGGCAGTGCCTGACTTGTCAGAGAACCATCATCATTCGAACACATCATGCCAACCTTCCTGTCACAGAAACCTTGCCCTACAGTTCTCTCTAGAAAACCCTCTTCTTAGACAGGTCACATGCTATTCCTCTATGACCATGCATGCTTCCCTTCAGTCTCTCCTCCCATCTCCTGTAACACATATGTCTTTGTTTCCATACTTTTTTGAAGGCTCTTGTTTTCCTCATTAAACAGCTTGAAGTGACCCCACGTGAAATGGGCTGCAGTGCTGAGTCAGGAGCTACCTGGACTTCATCTTTGTTGAGTGATGTTAAAGTGATCTTGAAACAGATGGATGAGCTGATAGTTGTCTAAACATCCTTTTGGTTGTGTCTTGGGATGTTGAATTGTTTGACATCAGGACATGTTAGTTTAAAAAGGAGAGATGAAGAAAAGACAAAAGACCAGAAAGTCAATGAAAGTAACTTTTGTTTGGGAAGCAAAACATTGGGTAGCTTGTGACTGTAATCCCAGCACCTGAGAAAAGAAAAGCAAGAAGATCCCGAGTTTGCCATTCTGGGCTAATTAACAAGAGCCCATCTCAAAGTGCAAACAAAAACATTCACTGTAATTGCCATTCTGATATGCTTCTATTCCCTGTTGACATGCTGATGTTCCTGAAGAATCACTGAGCTCTCTTGATCACTGTCAGAGACAAGCAGTGCCTCTCCATTTCAGGGGAACTTAGGCGGTGAACTCTGTGTACTTCATGCCATGTCTGACTTATGAGCACATTAAAAGTTTAATGAGTAAGGACCAACCAGAAGGCATGTTGCCCTGCGCTGCTGTCTGCCCTCTGAGAATGACTTACGACAAGGAGATGTTAAGCCTCTCTTCCCAATTTGAAGCTGGGATTTGGGAAGAAGTTGAGAGGAAAAATCTGTTGCAGGGGAATGTATCTCCTGAGGTGGGAGGAAGGGGTGAACTTAGTTCTTCTAAAAATCTGACTCCCTTCCTCACAGAGGCCCTTACAAAAAGATGTGTGCCCCCCAGGCTTCACACAGAGAGACCCAGGACCGTGAGACAGAGTTGCTGTGATTTGCTCAGGGTTAGTTCGAGTATGTTCCCTGTAAACGCCTGTACAAGCATCTCTCTCTCCAGAGTGGTGGGCAACTTAGCAGTGATGCCTGGGAGGAGATAGCTGAGCCGGAGGACCACCACTCTCAGAGCAACCAATGCTGTCCTTTCAGAGCCAGTTTTTAGGGGTTGTTCTTCACAGAGTGGGTTGTGGCACAATAAGAAGATCCTACATACACCTTTGTGCTTATGTCCATTTTCCTTTCCAGTTCTTCCCTATCATGTTGTAATATGCTCAGAGACCAAACAGATGGAACACCCAAACTTGGACTTTCAGCTGCCCAAAGTGAACGAAAGGAACCTCTTTATAAAGTACCCTGTGTCAGGTAGCAACACAAAAGGGACTAAGGCAGGTTTGTCTGAAATGTGCCTAGTGAAAGCTGTTGATAGGGTTTTGAGGTAGCTGTGTCCCACAGGGTGCCTCTGATTTCTGCAAGTTTGGCATGTCTTTGAAATAAGCTATTTTGCCTTCTCTTTTACTGACTTTCTGGTAGCTGCACTTAACCTTATTGCATTCTGTCCCTTTGCACTGATTCAGCTTAATGCTAAAGGAACCTTCAAATTCAAAGAAGGCTTCTGCCCTTCCCTAGCCTGCTGCCCCCACGGTTGGATGTGGGCTAGGATGGCAGCAGGCAAACAGAGGATGAAGTATGTTAATTGCCGGCTGTCACAGTTGCTTTAGGTGACTTTGTACTTCTTGGAGTTAAGATCAACGCGAACTGAGAATTCAAATAGCAACAAAAACCCTGGGGCTTGCTAATGCCAGGAATGACTCCTCTGGTGAGAACTGCATTGAATTGGTAATACAATGCAGGCAGGAGGAAAAGACTGTGCTATCTGCTCCCTTTGTGTTTCTGACCTTGAGCAGAATCAGAACTTGTTTGTTGCAAAAGTTGAGCATCTAATGTGCTGTTGCACCTGTTAGTTCTTGTGTACTAAATGGCAAAACACTTGCAGATCTGTGACTGCTTTGTGGGTGAAATGTTTTCTGCAATCTGGTGAGCCGGCTTTGTAAAGACAATGTGTTCAATTGTGCTCCTTGCATCCCTTATCTCTCAGAAGTGTGCTCCCTTGTGCTGTTTCAATACTCTGATTGTCATTATGTCTTAGGACATGTCTGGCTTTGTATTTTCAAGGTAACATTATGATTTTTTTTTTTTAATACAGAGACCATGAACCAGGCAACTCCTGCCAGGAAGCTGGAAGAGGTTCTTCACCTCGCAGAGCTCTGCATAGAAGTCCTACAGCAGAACGAGGAACATCATGCCGAGGTGATGACTTGTAGTCAGAGCATAAAGTTCTCCCAACGGCTTTGCCATAGCAGGGGCAGCACTGACAAGGGCAGCACTGAAAAGATAGCCTGACAGGAGTCTTAGTGTGCACCTGGCCAAACATACGCCTTTTCTGGAAGTGTGACTCATGTATGTTACAAAGTGTGTGTGTGTGTGTGTGTGTGTGTGTGTGTGTGTGTGTGTGTGTG